GGGGGGGGGGGGGGGGGGGGGCGATGTTTGCCACTTCATGAATTATGCAGACAGCTCGTTGCGCTCCTGTAACCGCTCCTTAATGGTGAACATAAAAATATTTAACAATATTAACGGCAATATAACGCTTTATTACTTCATAAAGTTTCACAGATTCTTTTTTAAGCCGCAAGCGTTGAGCAGTGTTACATCTTTGTCTTTTCGTTGTATTCCACGCGCCATATTACATTGTATCGAGTAAAGGCAAATATAAACAAAAGGCAATGTAATGTTGTAGTGAGGAATGTCGAGGAATAATTCGGCACAAGAATGAGGGCGAACTTAATGAAGTGCGTGGTGGGGTGCGGGGGTGGAGGCCGCTGCGGGGGCGGGGGCGTGTGGTAACTTCGGCTCTTTTATGTCGCGGTCGCGGCCCCGGGCCCAGCCTCGCTCTGAGAACCACACTTTATATGAATGTTGGCAACTATGTGAATATTACTATCAGTTATTTAATTTAGAAGAAACAATAGAAAAGTTAAATTTAATTACTAATTAAACAGCTATTGCCAACACATGAGCGTAGTTTAAACATGTATATTAAATACTTAAATGAGCAGCTAAATGCGTTTCCTAGAATTAAAAAATAATTTCTCAGTACAGTTCTAATAATGACATGTTCAAATAAACGCTCGAACGCATCCCGTGTTCTCGGAATCAATCGGAACGTGTCGATTTCTGGTGCGGTGTAGTTATTTTTGTAAAATCCTATTCACTGATAGAAATGACTACATTTCTTTTTGTTCTTCTATAAATCATCTAACAAATTTATTTTCTCTACAAGTATAATAGAAAATCATACTATCTTGAGACCGTGTATAAACCTTGCTAAGTATAATACGTGTAAACTAAACTAAAAGGTAAGGTAACTTAGTGAATACATAATTAGTTATGTGTGTTCGGGCTGGAGGCTGCTGCTGTGCTGATTTGCCTCTTGGGGGCTGCGCCACGACGCGGAGGCTTTTATGTAGCCGCGTGGAGCGGATATCAGTTGCACCGCCGCCTCGCCGCCTCGCCTGGCACACCTCGGGTAACACCAGTAGCCTCTTGACATTAAGCCTGTAAAGCTCGTCAAGTAACAAGCCTTTGTAAGAATTAACTACTTTTCTAACAAAACGTAGATTCCGATGCAGCGTAGAAATAAAACAAATATGCGTTTAATATATGGAGCGATACGAAATTACATTTGTTGTCGGGATTAAGTAGCAAGTTCGCCTAAAATATACAGTTGTTGTTTCGTGTTTGAAACTTAAAGTTGTGCGTAAACTGTGAGGTCGGCTTTCTCTGTCTGCGGAAACTGGCCGGATATGTAGCATTACTTCGCTCTGCCCATTTACAATGAATTTAGGATCGCGGAGTCTGCGCACGCATATGTTTCCTCGGCTTATATGTATCTCATCACAATCATACATAATACATAAGACATAATCTTTTTAATCTGAACTTTCTAATCTATATTTTGATTTTTTTACTTATCTTTTTAATGTGTTTATATTTAAATGAATTAAACTAATCGATTCCGAATCGTTAATTAAATCTTCTGACACGTCTAACTCCATCTACTGGATTAAGTCATCAATTAATTAAGTTTGACTTTCAAATGTTGATGTTCAAATACTGCTGCGATAATAATCTACAATTAATGCGCACCCTCTTTACTCTAATAATGAGCGTGTTTATCAATCTAGTATTTATAATAATATAACTTGGTTTACAGCCTGATACCTTCCTCATAATTAACATTACATTACTCCTTTTGATGATTTACCGCGGCACACTTCTGCACGCTCTCTATCGTAAGCTG